CCCCCCCCCCCCTAAAAACGAAGAAGAAGAAAAAGAAATTAATATACTACTATACCTACTATATAGTACTACTATCCTAGATATCTCTATACTACTAATTAGTTAGTCAATTAGTAGTATCTAATTAACTTAGCTCGCCAAGTATATTAATTCAAGAATTTTATAATCTAAAAAGATTAAGTAAATAAGTAAAAGAGACTAATCCGCTTATATTTAAAACTACTTTTGAAACTACTTATATATAGATATATACAACGTAATCTATATGTAAAATCAAGTATAAATTAAAAGTAAGTATTATAGTCAAAATTTATAATCTCTTACCATAGTACTAACCCCTTCTCCCCTTCCCTCTTCTTTCCCCCTTCTCTTCCTCTCCCCCCTTTGCAGCAAGTAGCAAGTACCAACAAGTACTAACAAACAGCCCTCTCCTCAAAGCTTTCTCAAAAAGAACCACTCACCACTCACACTCACCACTTACTATAATCAAGCACACCATAAAAGCACAGCATAATCAACCATACCTACCACAAGCACACAAAAAGCAAGCTACTATAGCCTAAGCAACAAAAGCTTTCCTCAACAAACATACCAACTTACCACTTACCCCTTACCCCTCCTTCCCCTCTCCCCAAAACCAAAACGAAGAAGAAGGAGAAGAAGGAGAAAAGCTAACGTACTGTTGTACTGCTATCCCAAAATATAGTCTGTCTAGACTTGACATATGAAGAAGATGTAAATAAGCGGATCCAGAGAAGGGAAGAAGAGGACAAGAGAAGCAGTGAAAAGCAACCAGAGCAAAAAAGTAGAAAGTAGGAGGTAAAAAGTAAAAAGTAAGAATGCAGAGGTAAACAGCAGAAGTATAAATCAACAGCAGAAGTATAAATCAACAGCAGAAGTATAAATCGGAAAAAAGAAGAGCAGAAGACAAGAAAAGAAGAGGCAAGAAAGAAGACACGAATCTCCCAAAAGCTATCAAAACAGATGAAAACAGACGTCAATGTTGATCAATGTAAACATAAACATAAGTAAAACAACTCTCTTCTTCCTTCTTACAACCAACCATCATGCATCTGAACATGCATTTGTACTGTATCTGTATCTGCATCTACTTAAAAAAGGAAGAAACAGCAAACACAATACAATACCATCTCTTGCCACCCACTCTTCCACCCATCCACCATCCACCATCCACCATCCATTCATTCATCCCCACACACCCCCCCCTCCCAAAAATTATTTAAAAGAAAAAAAATTTAATACTGAAAAAAAAAAATCACAAATTTACAACGCCAACCCAACCAATCCCAACCCAACCTAATCAATCACCCTCAATTCCCAATCATCATCTCTACAACCCCCTCTTCTTAGTCAACCACCCCTTCCTCCCCCCCTTCTCCAAATCACCCCCC